GCCAAGAGAAGATACCCTTTGCATCTCGTGTGTTGGATGCATGGACAAATAAATGGATGAAATGGATGGATGAGTAAAAACCCCCTTAGGGATTTAGCTAAGTTTTCTGCTGACTTTGAACACAAGACCCAGCAATGTGGATTGTGAATGAGGAGGAGGCAATTCCTGACTTGGTACCTTTGATTCATGGGGAAGCTAGCATCCTTACACAGTTCTCCTTAGAACTTGTTTTTTTCTGCCCATTCCTAAATGATCAAAGAGGGAAGCTTTATGGAGAATTGTAGTAACAAGAGCTACTAGCAAGGTGTGTTTTAATGCTGTTTTCTAACACATCCTACAACTTTGCTTTGGTACTAAGATGAAAACTGCATGTATTCAGGTAGAAGCCAGTAAGAGAGTTGAGCAACCTGACTTTATTTTTCAAAAAGGAGATTAAATATCAAAATTAATTAGGAAATGGTTCTAAGTACTGAGAAATATGCAGGGAACGTGGCTAAATGGGACCCATAAGGAGGTTTATCATACTCTTCAGATCACATAGGAAATAAAAGAATGAATCCCAATTACTTTTATCAGAATCAACATATTCTTTGTTTCTTATAAATTACTCAAAGCTTAAATTTACCAGAATTGAACCTTAGGAAGCATTTGGAAAAGGGCAGTCCACCCACTCCCTGACCTCAAGGAAGAAATCACTTAGTGACCAGCTTACCTGCATGATGTTTTAGCAAGAAGCTGTTAATGTCAAGATAACAATCTAATAATCTACTCTTTCTATTTTATCTACACACTTCCTACTTAGCTCCTTTCTAGTTTTTTTCTGAGGTCTATTTTTGGTTCCTGTCATAGGACTGTACATCCCCTGAGGACTGGGGTTTAAATTTTTGCAAATGATGAAGACATTACTTTCCAAATATTAAGGTTTGTACTTGGTAGCAGGATTACATTGAACCATGGAAACAATTATGAAAGTTGTTTTAATTCCCAGGTCTGGCTACCAAAACCAAAACAAAAGCAAAGTGAATGGACCCAACTATGTTGAGTTGTTACTACAAAGAGCAGCTTGAGAGCAGAGGGAGAGGTCCCCAAACTGCCTGTATTCTGCATGGATGACACCTGAGCCCCAGGACAGTACTCTGTGAAACAAAAACAAAACCTGTTGGCCCTGCTCACCCAGAAGACTGTCAGACCCCAATACAGGGGACCCGTGTCTTGATCCCGTGTCATGTGTGTAAGAGGCCATGGGTGAAAACTGGCTTTTTCTGTGTTCCTTGATGCTTGTCCTCCAGGGTCCCTTCCTCCTCGGAAGGCAGGCGCCTGCAGGGCCCAGCCTCTGCAGCAGGTTGGGTCCCAGCTGTGCACCTTGTTGAAAAGGAGAGCTGGCTAACCTATTAGGCCCCACCCCAAACAACAAACAGGAGTGAAGGCCCTGCAGGCATTTTTTTTTTTTTTTAACATCCCATTTGGTGATTCTAATCCATAGCCATTGACCTAGAGGGAATTAAGACACCTTTTAAAGTAAAATAAAATGGAGACCAAGGTTTATACACCAGCTTCACCGTTTGTTAATTTTGCTGGCGTGGCTGTCAATTTATCTGCTCAGAGCCCAACTTCCATATCTCCCCGGGAGCACCCAGGACCCTGCAGCCTCGGCTGCCTTGTGCATCAGCCCAGATGCTGAGTTACTCCTACTGGGCTGTGAGCAGACAGAGGACGCCCCGTAGGCCCAATCAGGAGGCTGCTGCTGGCTCCCAGCTGTGGGAAAGGCCAGCTGATTCCACTAAATCACAGGAATTAAAAGGGAGTAAAGCCTGTGAGGCTGGGGCCTGGTCCTCAGAGTGCAGTTCACTGCCTGGGAGCTTGGTGAAAAGGTGGTGCTCAGGGCCCTCCCTTGCCTGGGAAACCCCTCGGGGTGACGGGCAGGAGCCCCTACGGGAGGCCTGCTGCAGGAAGAGGGCCGACAGGCCGTTTTCCTGGTGAGTACAGGTTCACACCAAGAGACAGGTGAGATTGAGGCCAAAGGGCTGTCTTGAAGGTTGTCCAGACCTCCTGGGACAGAGGTCAGAGTTGGGGCAGGCTTTTATCCCACAGGGGATCCCCTGGGCTCACCTCTGGATCACGTCCCCCCGTCTCAGTTTCACACCTGCCATTTCTTATCCACTTCTAAAGCCCCCCAATTTGTCTTTTTTTATTCTGCCTTTAGGAAAATCTTCCTTTCCCCACCCCCTCAGGAACAAGGGCTTCAGGAAGGGGGAAGGGGGCATGTTAACTCTGGGAATCTCCTGGAGATGAAGCATTGGTGCGGTTCAGCTTTTGGTGGTTGATTTACCAGTTACAGCGGCCTCAGTAGAGTACAGGCCTAGACCCATGGAGCCTTTTGGGAAGGACTCATTTATCAGTTGAGGCCTGAGGGTGGAGGAGGCTCCTTGCACACCTGACCCTGTGAACAGGGAAGTTGTGTCAGCTTGTAAGTGCCATAAACTGACACAGGTGTGAGCCAGGGGCGGGGCATCTCTTTCCTTCCTGGAACCAGAAGAGTCAGGCAGGGAAGTGTCAGGAAACCTCCCTGGGTGCAGGAGCCCAGTCCTGGAGTTGGAGACAGGGCTCTGTGCGGCCCTGACACTGGGACACGGCAGTCCTTGGGCGCTGGGGGTTGTGCCAGGTAGCTGTAGCATGGGGTTCAAGGAGGAACGTACAGGGGGGCTTAGCAGGTGGGAATGGTCCCTTTGGGAGGAGATCTCTTCCTGAGGAGTCCGGTTTTATGCTGTCCCCCAAGGGCAGGCTGGCAAGTGGGGGAGAGAGACTTCTACCTGATCTGTGGTTGTGCTTTTAAGGCCTTATTTTTTTAGAGCAATTTTAGGTTCACAGCAAAATTGAGGGGAAGATAGAGTTCCCACATTCACCCTGTCCTCCCCCTGCACACAGCCTCCCCCATCATGAACATCCCCACCAGATGGAACATTTGTTACAGCTGATGAGCCTGCATGGACACGCCATCGTCACCCAGAGTCCATAGTTGACATTAGGGCTCTTGTACATTCTGTGGGTTTGGACAAATGTATAATGACATGTATTCAGCATCTCACAGAGCAGCTTCACTGCCCTAAAACTCCTCCGTGTTCTGCCTGTTTGCCCCTCCCTCCCCCCAACCCCTGGAAACCACTGATCTTTTACCTGTACCAGAATCTATAATTTTTTTTAACCAAAACAATGTACTTATAAATTACTTGTATAATAAACAAAAGAGAAAAGGCTGTTTTAATCATTCTGACTATAGTGAGGATAATGTTAGAGGAAGGAAACAGATTTCAGGGGAAGCGTTGGGAGACATTTACGGGCACAGCTCTTGAGAGCATTAGTAATATCCAGCTTGAGCAACAGAGAAGAGAGAATACAGGGGGAGGAAGAAAGAAGGGTAACATATGCCCGGCCGGGCGTGGCTCAGAGGTTTAGCGTCGACCTAGGATCCAGGCGATCGGGGTTCGATTCCCAGTCGGGGCACGTGCCTGGGTTGCGGGCTCCAGCCAATCAATGACTCTCTCATCACTGATGTTTCTATCTCTCTCTCTCCCTCTCCTTTCCTCTCTCTGAAATCAATAAAGATATATTTAAAAAAAAAGAAAAAGAAAGAAGGGTAACATTACTGCATCTTAAAGTACTGGCCTTGAGGTACTGGAGAGACGACCACCAATGAATTAGTAGGCTGTTCACATTCTTTGTGTAATAAACTAGGTTCGAACGGGAAGTAATGAGACTACCAAATATAAATATGTACATAGATAGTAGATAGATATCAAACATGCATTTATTTCCAAGACGTGTACCCGCCTCCCCAAGGCTTCTCAGCTACATGAATATTGTAGCCTTTCAAAGTTGTCACCTTTCAGAGGCAACAGCTTTATTCTAGCATTTCAGAACTGGCTCGACATAACTTGATGATTTTTAACCATCTTCTGAGCAGGCTTGCCACACAAATATGTGCAAACTCAGTCTCGGTGTCCGTCGGGTGTACTCCTGGAGCCACAGTGCCTTTCTTTTGTTATGTTTTTTATTCACCAAAATTATCACTCAGTCAATGGTCCATGTTCAACATCCTTAGTCCTGACCTTTGTTTCCAAAATTTAAATTTATGAAGGAGGTGGATTGGAACCGTTGGGCATCCAGGAGCTGCTTGGGGGGAGTAGGCTTTGCTGTTCCTTCTGAGGCACAGGACAGCATCATCTCGGAAAAGAATGGCCCTCATTACTTGTCACATCTCTTCTGGCCTTAGCTCGTCAGCTAAGGTGATGATACAGAATTTGGCAGGTGTGAAATCTAGATTGTTCACTGAGCTTTGGACAGTGGTTCCATGCACAGTGGCTGCTCAGATGGGGCTTCATCCGGGAGCAGGAGGGTGAACAGACTCCGATCACAGGCACTGCACAAAGCTGCTTTAATTTCCTTGAAGTCCTCTGAGAAAGTGTGGGAAATGTCCTAGATTTATCTTGATCAGGTGTCATTTATATAACGTTGGTTTAATTTTTCTTTTCATAAAATTGCATGACTTGTTTTGTACTTAAGGCCACTGGTGAAATTTTTTTACACTGGTAGCTGGTGATGAAATTGTCTATTTTTCACCTCCTCAAACCACAGACCGATGGTCCTTTTCAGTACTATTTTCTTTGAATTTGGCTAATATAAATGAATACACCTGTCCTTTGTGTTGTTTTGTAACTAGAAGGAGTTGCCTGCAAATTAGTAGGCAGCTCCTGTCCGAGCCTGTGAGCAGAGCTATCCTCAGTTAAACCTGCGCCAGGCACTTCTCCAGCAACGTTCACCTGTGGACGAGCCCACAAGCGCTGGGCTCTCTGCTTCGGGTTTTCTCTCAGTGCTGACACTAATCCTGGACACGTGTCAAGCTCATCTCTCATCTAGGAGCCTTCTGAGAGGTCGAGGTTTCCCGGGGTCAGGGCCAGCCGCATGCCTGCTCTCCCCTGTAACTGCTGTCCTGTCCTTTCCAGGTATGAATGCTGCGGTCCGCGCTGTTGTGCGCATGGGGATCTACGTGGGGGCCAAGGTGTACTTCATCTACGAGGTCAGTGCTGCATGACAGTCCTGCTTTCTCTGACCATCAGGCATCCCTGCCTCAACCTCACCCGGGGCACTCATGCCTGCCGTGTCGAGCCCTGCTGACCCCAACCCAGGGTCAGCGGTGACAGCGTGCTCAGGGGCCAGCAGGGGATCCCAGGTCCCACCAGAGCTTACCTGGGAGGCCGTGCTCCCTGGGCCAGATGCCCCTCTGTGAGATCTGTGTTAGGGAGCCAGAGGTGGAAGGAGATGAGATGGACACAAAATGCTATTTTGATGTCAGCTGGTCTTGCAGGATTAATGATCTCAAACTGGTTTTATTTATTTGTAGCTCTCATTTCTTATAGAAATGATACAGTCACTTAAAATGGTGTTGAATTTGAATAAACTTGAGATAAATGGGAAAAAGGGGCCACCTTGAGCTTTTCATCATTAATGTATAACCCAGACCACCTCCCTAGGATCTGTGTATCCATTTACTTCAAAATGAGAAGTCTGAAATCCAACAGCAGTCCCGGCCCCTTATCTGCTACGTTTGAGGTCCTGGCCATTTAGAAGTGAGTAGGGTTTTGGGGGCAAGGTACCGATATGGTTTGGGCCACATGATTTAGTTTAAAACTACTAGCAAAAATATAATTTATATTTAGATTTTAAATTTATAAAATGTAATAAAGCTTATAAAAAGGAAAGAAGAGAATATATTTTTAAAGGACTTAATTCCTTCAGGATCACTGTTAGTATTTGATACCAATTCCTCCCAGTATTATATATAGGAAAGACTGGAAGGAAATATGTACATTGCTAAAATTACAGCACATGTATTTTGTGTATTATGTTTCCTACCTGCCATTACATTATGATGGTTTTCTATATACCACATACATCCCACAACTATTGCTTTAAATGTCTATATAATATTCTATCACGTTGATGTCTCAACATTTACCTGACCTTTTATTTACTGGGTCATTCCATTGCCAACCACTGGACTATTTAGGTCATTTGCCCATTTATCGACTATCATAACACGGCAAGATCCATATTAATATGTGAGGCTCTTCTATACCTTGTGTTATTATTGTGATCCCAAGGCACTGACTGAGTTAGAAGACATGGCCCTTATAATAGGTCTCGATGTAACTCACTAGTGACTTCTGAAACTTCTTCCAGCCCACCCTGCACCCCAACGCTGCACCCAAAAGCGGCGCCAAACCCACCAGTTTTGTGTGTGTGGCCCTCGTCTGACTCGCCGGAGCTGGCACTGGTTCCAGGGCTGTTTACTAAAGTCAGTTTCTCCTTTCGTGATGTGGCCTTTCATGGTCTTTGCTCATTGGCCTAAATAACCATTTGCTTATTGTTTGCTGCAAAGATGATTTCTACTGTGCTTTGGTTTGCTTTTTTACATTGTGGTTCTGTGGGCTTAGGGTTGTATTCGTCTGATTTGGGCAGTGTTAAAATGATGGGTCCAATCAAAGCAGTCCCAGACTGTTTTTCTGTCATTTTCCATTTGGATGTATTTAGGGTCAAATTGCCCTTGGGAATGTCTGTCCTGGGCTCCGCCCGGCCCGGCCCGGCCCGGCAGCTGCTGTCCCCTGTTCAGTGATGTGGAATGAGCACATTAGACCCAGGGCCATGCTCACCACTTTGATGTTTGCGTTTGCACTCTGATGACTGTTCTGCTTCTGCTGAGGAGCATGTATGCATGTGCACGGCTTCCTCTGCCCTTTAGTTTATTTGAGGGAGGAGAGGGCATTGCCTTCTGCCTTTGAACTTGAGAGAAAACACCACACCTAGCCTGATGGCAGTTCCTAACACATGAACATGGTTTTAAGAATCTCTTGGGGGTTGGAGCAGCCTCAGGTCAGGTTCTGTTATAATTAACAAAATGTTTTCAGCTTCCATGAAGATGAATTCACTTAGACTTGTGTGTCCTGCATGTTCCCCTGGGAAGCTTTGATTTTACTGGCTGCTGGCTCCTTCCATTTTTGTGACCCAGGTGATGCTGCAGCCAAGCTGAGGTGAAGATCCCGCACCACAGAGATGCACTTGGTCTTTGTGATGACTTTGCGGTGTGTGCAGGGAAGGAAGTCATTTCAGTTATTTCATAGTTAAAGGAATTGGCTCGTCCTCATGGACAGTTCACCTTCCCCGTGTCACTATTCATCATGGCAGGGCTGGGAAGACAGCTCGAATCCCACATCAACCCCCCCAAAGACATTAATGTCTGGAGACATTTTGATTATCCCATTATTGGGGAGGTGCTACAGGCATCTAGGGGATGGAGGCCAGGGATGCTGCTCAGCATCCCACAATGCACAGAACAGGCCCCCAACAAGGAATTATCTTGCCTAAGTGTCAGTAATTCTGAGGTCCAGAACCCTGCACTAAACCAAGGGCCAAATCTGTACTTGGTGTGAATGGCGGCATCCTTGGTGCGGCTGGGGCTGATGGTGTATGCCTGTTGAATGTTTGGGTACTGAAACTGACAAAGTCACTGGTTATCTTCAAGTCCTCCTCAGATTTAAGAGTTTTGTTGTTGTGTGTGTGTGTGTGTGTGTGTGTGTGTGTGATTTTTGAAATTAAAATTTTTTTTCAATTACAGTTGACATAAAATATTAGTTTCAGGTGTACAACATGGTGGTTAGACATTTATATAACTTAAACATGATCACCCTGATAAATCTATTACAAACTGACACGATGCATAGTTATTACAATATTATTCCCTTGCTGTACTTGACATCTCTGTGTACATTTTTATAACTGGCAATTTGTATTTCTTAATCCCTTCATCTTTTTCACCCACCGCCCAGCCTGCCTCCTATCCACAACCATCAAAATGTCCTCTGTATTTATGAATTTGTTTTTGTTTTGTTTGTTCATTTATTTTGTTTTTTAGGTTCCACATATACGTCAAATCATATGGTATTTGTCTTTCTCTGTCTGACTTACTTCACTTAGTGTAATACCCTCTAGGTCCATCCATGTTGTCACAGATGGCAAGATTTCATTCTTTTTTATGGCTGAGTAATATTCCACTATATATATATTGGTGTGTGTGTGTGTGTGTGTGTGTGTATATATATATATATATATATATATATATATATATACCACATCTTTTAAATTTTTATTTATTTTTAATTTTTATTGAATTATTGGGGTGACTGGTTAATAAAATTGTATAGGTCTCAGATGTACAATTCTATAATATATCATTGTATATTGTGTTGTGTGTTCACCACCCCAAGCCAAGTCTCCTTCCATCACCAGTTATCCCCCATGTACCACATCTTATCCATTTCTCTATCAATGGACACTTAGGTTTCTTCTATATCTTGGCTATTGTAAATAATGCTGCAATGAACATAGGAGTGCATATGTCTTTTCAGGTTTCTTTGGGTAAATACCCTAAAGTGAAATTGCTGGATCATATGGTAGTTCTATATTTAGCTTTTTGAAGAACCTCCATACTCTTTTCCATAGTGACCACCAATTTACATTCCCAACAGTGCACAAGGGTTCCCTTTTCTTCCCATCCTCATCAATACTTGTTGATATATTGATGATAGCTATTCTGACAGGTGTTAGGTGGTATGTCATTATAGTTTTGATTTGCATTTTTCTGATTATTGACATTGAGCATCTTTTCATGCCTATTGGCCATCTGCATGTCCTCTTTGGAGAAGAGTCTATTCAAGTCTTCTGCCCATTTTTTAATTGGATTGTTTGTGTTTTGGATGTTAGTATGAATTCCTTATATATTTTGGATATTAGCCCCTTACCAGATGTATCACTGGTGAATATCTTCTTCCATTTAGTAGGTTGTCTTTTTGTTTCGTTGATAATTTCCTTTGCTCTGAAAAACTTTGCAATCCCATTTGTTTTTTTCTTTTGTTTTCTTTGCCTGAAGAGACATATGCAAAAAAATATTGCTAAGAGCAATGTTGAAGAGTTTACTGCCTTCATTTTCATCTTGGACTTTTCGTCTATAGTTTTATGGTTTTGGATCTTACATTTAAGTCTTTAATACATTTTGAGTTTATAACAATAAACTTGCTGTGAGGGCTTCCCATGACTATATGGTGTAAGAAAGTGTTCTGTTTCATTTTTTGCATGTATCTGTCCAGTTGTCCCAACATCATTTATTGAAGAGACTGTCTTTACCCCATTGTGTAGTCTTGCCTTCTTTGTCATAGATTAATTAACTGTATAGGTGTGGGTTTATTTTGGGGCTCCCTATTCTGCTCCTTTGATTTACATGTCTGTTTTTATACCAGTACCATGCTGTTTTGATGAGTATAGCCTTGTATAGTTTAATATCAGGGAGTGGGGTATGTACAACTTTGTTCTTCTTTCTCAAGAATGCTTTTGCTATTCAGGGTCTTTTGTGGTTCCATATAAATTTTAGGATTATTTGTTCTAGTTCTGTGAATAATGCCATTGGTGTTTTGATAGGGATAGTATTGAATCTGTGGATTGCTTTGGGTAGTATGGACATTTTAACAATCTTAATTCTTCCTGTCCATGAACACGGTATATGCTTCCATTTATTTGTATCTTCTTCTTCAGTTTTGTTCTTCACTGTCTTATAGTTTTATGCTTGATGTTGTCCCAAAGGTCCCATAAACTTTCCTCATTTAAAAAAATTTTTGTTCCCTTTGTTGTTCTGATGGGGTGTTTTCCAATACCTTGTCCTCCAGACCATTGATTCAGTTCTCTGCTTCATCTAACCTGCTGTGGCTTCCCTCTAATGTATTCTTCATTTCAGTTATTGCATTCTTCATTTCTGACTTTTTTTATGGTTTCTAGCTCCTTGTGTAAATTCTCACTGAGTTTACCGCTAAGTTCATTGACTATCCTTATAACCATGTTCAACTGCATCTGATAGATTGCTTGCCTCCATTTCACTTAGTTTTTTCTGGAGTTATGGCCTGTTCTTTCATTTGGGAGATGTTCTTTCATTCTCCACTGGTTTTCAGAGCCGGAAGCAATGGGGACTTCTCT